GTGTCACGAGTGTGACACTGGCCGGGGAGAGCCCTGTGAGGCAGCATCCTGAGTAGAATGTGTGTTTCTGGGGACATCAGGAGTCAGTACGACTGATGGTCCAAACCCTCTCCTTGGGCTGTGTTGGGCACAGCGCGTGTCACCAGACTATGACCTCCCAGAGGTGAGGTCCGTACCCCACCGGCTCCGTGTGCTGTCGCCCTGCCCAGAACTGGGGCGTTCACAGCAGGTGCTCGGCGAACACGCACGAAGAAACACCGAGGCACCGGCCGGAAGACCCACGGCAGGCGGAACACGCCTCTGCGGGGGACAGCGGTCGGCGGGGTCGCGCCCCGGAGGAGCCATCTCCGCGCAGCGAGCGAATCTGGCTTTGTCGGCAGAGGCGATGACCGGCCGTAACGCGTGTCCACTGAACACTGGTGTCCCACAGGGAAGCGTTTTAACAACCTTTCCTCCCTCTAAACTTCCGGATGATGTCATCGTCAAACTTTTCAGCATATTTATTACTCTCTGGCCCGCGAAACATGCGTATCCCTTAACTGTTCCAAGTCCTTTAAGACTCTCGAGTATTTTCCTGCCTTTCAGCACTTGACGGGATGACTTACAGACCCTCAGACGTTGGTCAACTGAACGAAGGCATGAAATGGATCAAAGTAAGTGACTTCCTTATTCTGCAGATTCGGTGAAGGAGAGATATCGGGAGGAATAATGGAAGGGTATAAATTGATTAGTTAATATATAAAGGAAGAACAGCACGTGGACATTCCAAGTCGCCACCGGCAGAACTCTGGACTGGTGGTTTTGGAGATAACGTGAAAAAAGCTCTCGAGAGAGGACAAGCGAATTTTTTAAGCAGGTTTTTCTGCTGACAGAGGTGGTGGCCTCACCTGGGCGCGTCGCCGGTCGAGCGTCTTCCTGCAAGACAAAAGCACGAGCATCTGTTGGTGGGGGAACCCGCGCCCGGTGTCCCCACGCCGCGCTCGTGGGCAGCGTTCCCTGTCCCAAGGTGCCACCATGTGCCCAGAGGACATCTTGGCGCTCATTCAGGCAGACCCTCCATTTCGCAGATGAAGAGACTCAGGTCTTGAACCATCAAGCAAGCTTCCCAGTGACAGAGACTATGGAGGGGCGGGGGGTGCGGGGGGGCCCTCTGAGACCCCACACCCGCGACGCGGCCACACCGCCCAATCTTGTCATGACACAAGCCCTCAGGAGCAGGCCCCGCCACAGCCGCATCAGGGGTGGGGTGAGGGCCCAAAGACGAGCCCCTCGGATGCGAACGGCAATGTCTCGCTCTGCTTCCTCCGTGATCGGTGGAGCACGCAAGTCGGCGTTTAATCGCCAGCCGTGGGAAAGCGCGACGCCGAAGGGCGCGGGTCTCTGAGGAAGCGGGATAGGACCGCAGGCTGCGCGGCCAGGTGAGCTGCGAGGAAGCAGCCAGGGCGGGATGCGGGATGCGGGATGCGGGATGCGGGATGCGGGCGCCGGCGTTCCGGGGGAGCGAGCGGGTGACGCTGGCGATCACGGGGAATGGGAACGGGCCCGTCGACGGGAGCGCGAGGTGGCACCGTGGCGCCTGCTGACCGCGGCTCCCGCTGGAACCGACCGCTTATTTATACAGCTACATTTTCACGCACAAGGTAAACCACGGGAGCGCAGGACCTGAGCTGAACGTCAGCTGGGAACACAAGGCGCCAGAGAACTTGGCCCAGCTCGCGCGGCGTCGGGGAGTGACCCCCGCACTGGGCTTGCGAGCAGACCCCTGGGCGGCGGCGGCAGGGCGGCCGCCCCTCACCGTGCCTGTGTCACAGATCAAGCCTCGTCCTGTGAAAACGAGGGTCGCAGCAACAAAACCCGTCTCTGTAAATACTAACCTACTTTCCTCTTGAGCCAACAGCAAAATAACAGGGCCGCCGTGCTGAGACCCAGGGTGCTGAGCAGCCCCTCGACGATGACCAAAGTGAGTCTCTTTCTGTCCCCTGCGGGCACTGAGGGGAAAAGCTGGGCATGAGTGGCCCAGGAGGAGGGCCTGGACTTGGGGGACAGATGTCTGAGCTGCCTCAAGGCCAAGGTCTGCTCTTTGAGGGGGAGGGTGTGGCCGGACCGATTACCTAGGGACTTGCAGCTTGTCATAGCTGAAGGCCAGTCCCCATGTCCCCCCCCCAGACACTTCCCAGCACAGCATCGCCCCCCTAAGCCCCACCGTCGGAGCACAGCCAGAAACACATCAGGTCAGTGACCCCCTCCCCAGACGCTGGGGGAGGGACCCCGACTGAGGTACTTCTGTAGCCTGAGCCACACCTGTGACACTGAGTGTCACCGCCTCGCTGCGCTGGGCCCCCAGGCCGTTGTCGGCCTCGCAGGAGTAGTTTCCAGAATGTTCTTCGGTCACAGAGAGGTTGAGGGACGCGCCTCCTCCAGAGGGGGCCGGGCTGCTCCCCAGGGCGACGTCCCCGCGGTAAAACCGGTACAGGATGGGCGGCGAGCCTCTCGGCGCCTCGCAGCGGAGCTGCAGCACGTCCCCCGGCACGGTGTGGGCCCCGGGGGTCCCGACGGTGAGGACGGGGCGCGACACAGGGACTGCGGGGGAAACAGAATTCACCCTCAGCTCCTGCAGTTTAAATGTCCTTCATAGGAAGGACATTTCAAACAGGATTCTTTTCCTTAGTTTTCGATGACATCGCTCAGAACCCAGCAGAAACAACACGTGCGCGTAGTGCCGGACATGGCTGGGGGTCTGGGGTGCACAGCCTCACATGCGGTTGGGGATCTGAAAACAAACATTAAAATGAGACTGGGCTCTGAGAAGTCCAAAGACGTCTGGGGACAAGGAGGAGTCAGTGCAACGGAAGAAGGGGGACGGGAGGGAGGGAGGGGGTAGACTCGTAACTTCTGCCCACAGAGCCCCAGCCCCCTTTAACGTCCTTGAGGGCCCAGGGGAACATGTGGGCCCTGCTGGCTGGGCCGAGGGGCAGGGGCCGTACCTGCGACGGTGACGCTGACCAGCCCGCTGAGACAGGGCCCCCGGCCGTTGTCGGCCGCGCAGTAGTACTGCTCCGCGTCGCTCTCCTTCACCGCGGGAAGCTCGAACTCCGCCGTCAGCGAGCGCTGGGTCTTTGTCTCCAGGGTTAAACCCAAGGCCCCTTTGTACCAGACAAAGGTGACGTCCCCTGTGCCGCCAGCCGCCAAGCAGACAAGGACCAGCTTCTGTCCCTCCACCACGTGTCCCCCTGGGGGCCGTGTCTCCAGGCTCACGTTGTAGACAGAGACTCCTGCACAGACAGGATGACACAGGGGTCTGAGTATGGGGGGTTCGGGGACAGAGAGTTGGGGTCTCCTCTCTGGAGGAGGCCTGGGGCAGAGTCCATAATTCACATGGTTTAGTGGCGGTGGGCGGGCTTTCTGCTGATTGGAGTGGGTGCTGCGTGGGCTGACGGTGAGGACACCACGGTGCCACCATGGAGGAGGCAGTGTCACCTCTCCCCCGGGACGACGGTTCTCCCAGAACCCTGAGAAGCCAAGCTCGTGTTTTCCAAGGCACAGTGACATGGCTCTGAGTCCCAGTTGCCAGTCCCCCTGCCTGGGTTTGAATACTGGTTCCAGCTCTGCGCTGGAGCGGGGCCGCTGCCTGGCGGCGTGTGTGTGTGTGTGTGTGCGTGCATGAGAGTGCATGCACATGTGTGCACTTGCACACATGTGCATGTGAATGCATGCATGTGAGCGTGCATGTCTGTGCATGCATGTGCATGTGTGCGTGCATGTGAGTGTGCCTGTCTGTGCATGTCCGTGCATGTGTGTGCGTGTGTGCGTGCATGTGAGTGTGCATGCATGTGTGTGTGTGCGGGCATGTGAGTGTGCATGCGCGCGTGGGGGGTGCATGTGAGTGTGCATGCGTGTGTGTGTGCGTGCATGTGAGTGTGCATGCATGTGTGTGTGCCTGTCTGTGCATGTCCGTGCATGTGTGTGTGTGCGTGCATGTGAGTGTGCATGCGTGCATGTGTGTGTGCATGCGTGCGTGTGTGCGTGCGTGTGTGTGCGTGCGTTTGCGGCCCACCTTCACCAACGCTGAGTTCCGAGTGAGCGCGGGAAAGCCCGGCCTCTTGGAGGTGGTGGACTTGGGCTTTGTGGCACAGAGGGCGCCCGTGCCCAAGCGTGGATACGCGTCAGATGGGTCAGTGCTGACCTGGCACAATGTGGTTTGGGGGTCACAGAACCCCACCTTTTCTTTTCATTTCTCGGTCGGGCCCCGCTCCCTTCCACGAGCCTTTCCCCGAGGCCTCGGCTTCCCGCCTCGGCCGTTTGCCCTTGCTCTGTTCGTCCTGTCACAAGTCGGCCCCGTGTGGCCACCGAACGTGTCGCCCTCGGAGTCCAGGTGCCCGCGGAACGCCCGCTGCGCAGTCAGGGCCGTGCCGCTCTGCAGCACCGTGGAGAAACACAGTGGGCCCTTTCCGAATGTCCCGTTCGCTCCAACGGGACGAGCCGGGAGAGGGAAGGGCGCCCACGCTCCGATGGGCAGCAGCTGGGGTGCCCCTCCAGACAGCCCCTGCTTCTCCAGAGCAGCAGAGGCAGTGGGGAGCCCGCCCCCCAAGCCGTGCCCCGGGCCCCGTCGGGCGCTCACTCTGCACTTGGACTTGGATGGGCTTGCTCCTTCCGACCGTGGAGCCAGCGGCCTGAGCCTCACAGCGGTAGGACACCGAGTCTTCGCTCCACACGGCGGACACCTGGAGCTCTGGGGACCTGCTCCAGCCCGGCTCCAGGGCCCGGTCGTCTCTGAAGAAGCAGAACTGGAGCTGGACGTCTGCCTGCTGCGGAGGGAGCCACGTCTCACACGTCAGCGTCACTGCGGTCCCCTCTGTGGGCCGGGGTGGCCGGGCCGTCAGAAGCAGCACTAGAGAGAAGGAACAAGCGCACAGTCGAGGGCAGTGGGGTTCGGGGTTCCTGGGAAGCGTTTGAAACGAGACTGAGACCCAGCCAAGTGGACACACAGACCTGCCCTCGCGTCCCCCACAAGCGGCCCGCGGGGTCCCCTTTGCCAGCACGTCCTGCCCCGTGCGGCGCCACCTCCTTCCACGAGCCACCTTCACTGTCCACGTGGTCCTCGCTCACTGAAGGTTCCGCCCATGAGCCAAGACCACTTCTGCAGACAGTGCAGGGGTAGTGACAATCGTCACTGAGGCTGGCACTGGAGAAGGGGAAGCTTGAGGTTGCAGGAAGAGTGAACGTATTTCATGTCCCCCTCTGGTCAGCAGGGCTGGTTCCCCGCTTCCCTCCCTCCCCCCGACATCGCGGAGGCTCGGCCAGTCTGGGACAGACTTACAGATCCTCCTGCCCGCCACGGCTGATGGAGGGGACAGGCCACACGCACCTGGACACCCCCCGGGTCCACGCCCACACGGCGCCCCTACAAACTCCGTGGGAGCCACGGCACAAGGGGAAAGTGTAACCCGAACCTTTACCCTCGGGCTGTAGCCCTGCAGGCCCTTGGGCCTTTTTCCAGAGTGAATTTAAGATGGCTGAAGTAGCGTTCAGCTTTCACCGTCGTCCACACCACCCACGAAACGCCACAATCTGGGGACACTGGCTCTGCGGGGTTTGCTTGTCCAGCCCTCAGAGCCTCGGCTGTTTGGGAAATTTTAAGACTTTTCCTAAGAAAAGCCTTTTTCTCTCCTTCCCACGTGAACGTGCCAAGCATTTAGATCACTGAGAGGTGACCCCCGGGCCGCTATCTGTGATCCCTGGGACTCTTAAAACGCCGGCTGAGGATGTCGTGGGAGTGCGTGCCCTGTGCTGGGCCGTGCCATGCCCGTACGTTGGCGCCACCGTCGCTCCTTGGAGAATCGAGTCCCCAGAGCGCTGAGGAGCAGCACGGCCTCAGGGCCTGGGCACAGCAGGGAAGGCGAAGGCTCTGGGCACAGGCTTCCTGAAGGGGGCCGGGCGCCGACATAGACCGAGCAGGGCGCGCGGGCTGCGGCTCGGAGCTGGTTTCCCGTGACTCTCAGGCAGAGCCTCCGCTGCAAGGCCCGCGTTGGGAGCTCTGTCTTCGCATCTGGGACGTGGCTTTGGGTTTCTGCCTGTGCCGAGATCGGGCGCCAGGGCCCGTGGCTTCGATGCGGGCCACATGAGGCCTGGACAGGTGGCAGGCGGGGGGCCCTGCAGGCTGGGCTGGCTCCGAATCGCGGGTCACGGGTATCCCTGCCCGTGCATCCTCGGGGCGACAGGATCACCTCTCTAAACCCCGTGGTTAGGGTTTTATGTCCGAAAGGGCTGTTCTGACTTGCACTGGGTTCATACCCACGTCGGGAGTAGTCCTGGGCAAACCGCCTCCTCCCTCGGCCTGGCGAAGGTGAGACCGAACGGGGCCGGGGCGATGGGCCAGTGTGCAGCCACCACACCAGGGGACAGTCCACACCGGGGGACAGGCCTCGCGGGGGGACGGGTCACGCCGGGGGACGGGCCGCGCCGGGGAGACAGGCGGGTGGTGGCAGTCACTTCTGCTTACGGCCCAGGACTGTATGTGTTCCCAGGATGTGCGACTTTGGGGTTCCGTCCATCGCTCCTGGTGGGGCACCCAGCGAAGGCGACACCGAGGCCCCGGAGGCCCCAAGGCTGGGAGCGCAGAGCTTCTCGTCACACCGGTCGGGCACCCTGGCTTTGTCACACGAACAGTGTCTCCCCTGAGCGGGAACCTTCCAGAAAAGGACTGTGGTCTTGAGAATAGCGGACCCAGACCTGCGCCCCACAGAGCGACCAGGGTCAGGGGCAGAAGGTGCTGTGAACACGCCAGGGGCCACCGGTGTCTGCATGCCACGGCGCTGTCACCAGGTGTCAAACGGCCAACCTCAGGCCTCCGGCACGGCCCACGAGTCAAGACACCCACAGACCACGCAGCAGATGGAGAAGCACAACTCACCGGCTGGTTCGCAGAGCGGAGCTGGGGGAGAGTTCAGCAGAGGTCAGTGCGGGCAGCAGGCCCCAAACCCTCACCGGGCCTGACCCCCGGCCCCGCGCCTCCAGCCTCTCCTCCTGCCCCCTCCTCCTCCCGGCCCCCACCCTCCCTTCCTTCCCCCACATGCACGCCCCCCGCAGAATGCCCGCAAAGCGGCACACCGTCCGCTCTCTGCTTATGGACGATCTCCCGTGGCCTCCTTCTAGAACCACCGAGCAGCCCTTCTCCCAGCCCCTGGTTTTCGTCCCCTCCTCTTCCAAGCCTGGATGGTCCAGCTCTAGCCTGGCTGAGCTGTGGTGACAACAGTCACGATCGGGCTGCTGCTCGGGACGTGATGCCCCTTATCTACCACGCCCAGACGGAGGAGGCCGAGTCCGGAGAAGGGGTGCAGACTCCCCCGAGGGGTCCCTGGTAGGAGCTGCCCCTGGTGCTGTGGGGTGATGGCGAGAACTGACAATTCTGGGGACCGTGCGGGCTCCGCAGGCAGCGGGCCCGATCCGAAGCCCGGCCCGCCTTCCTCCGCTGTGCGACCTGGGCAGGTGCTCGCTTTTCTGCGAAACGGAGGCACTAACATGGGGTGCGCGAGGGTCGAAGCAGCCGCTGCCCGTAAAGTGCTAGAACAGTGCCCGGAGGTCGACGCTCGGTAAGCAGCGCCTCATCCTCTTTGTCTGTTTAAGCCTCTGCCCGGTGCGAGCTGCGCGACCTTCCGCCCAGGCGTTTATCTGAACGATCAGCCCCCGGGTGGGAGAAGGGGCGGGCGTGAAAAGCACCCTTCCTTTATTCCCCCGGACCACGAGCGATTCTGAGCACTCGCTGCACGCCGGGCGTGGCGTGTGGCCTGGGCGGGGCGTAGACGGCGATCTGGAGGGGCAGAGAACCCGCTCGAAAGAAACGCGCCGGGAACCATTTCCGAGAGCAGAGCGGAGCGCTCAGCGCTGCAGGCACCAGGAAGCAGAGAGCGAGCGACTCAGCGTTCGAGGGTGGTCGTGACCCTTCGGAATGGCGTCAAGGGGGCGGGGACCCGGGTGAAATCGGAGCGCAGGGCCTTCTGGGTGTTTGGAGGGGGGCGGCCCTGGCGACAAGCAGTGGCTGCAAAGCGAGGGCCCCAGAGGACTTCTGAAGTGACGGAAATGACCCGCGTTTTGATCGTGCTGGGGGTCCCGTGACTCTAAACCCTTGTGACAAATCGCAGTGTGTCCCCCCTCCCCAAAATCTTACTGTAATGTAAATTAAAAATAAAACTTAAAAAAAGGATCGGGGGAGATGAAGTAAAGATGGCAACTCGTGGAAAACTTTGGAAGGGGGCAGAGACGTGTCGCAGCCGATGAGGGGACGTCAGGTCACGTTTCAATTAGTCGAAGACGAAATACCTTACGGCACTTTTACGTTTTTACGGGACTCGCCCACCGTGGAGGGCGGTCTGACGACGGAGCACAGCTTTACGAAAAGCGAGACGGTCTGGGGCCCGAGGCACGGGTGGCGAGCCTGTCCTCGGAGGCCGAGGGCGGCACGGTCACCACGGGGAGGGAGGCAGAGCGCGCGGCGCGGAGGGGACAGGCTGCTGGACCGAAGCGAAGGGGACGAAAGTTTCCTCTGGCTGCTCAGTGACATATAAGGCGAAATTATAAACGGAGAGTAAGAAGGGGGCAGTTTGAGGAAACGGGAGAAGGCGTGACACGGTGGCCATCGAGACGGAGAGACACGGGCCGAGAGGGGGGACAGGCGCCTGGGCTGCTCGCGGCCACCCGAGGCCGTGGCCCGCGTCCCGGGGGGACAGGGCAGCAGGACCGCGCCTTTCGTCTGCGGTCAGGGCCAGCAGCGCGGGCACAGGTGTAAAGCACGCAGACAAGCACGTTGGCCAGCGAGCGCCGGAGGGACGAGGGACAGAGGGGTGAGCGGGGGGACCGCTGTGAGGGACTCGAGCCCGAGTGCTGTGAGCGGTGAGCACGGGAGTGCAGGGACTCACAACGGAGAAGTCAGCCTGGGGGCGAAGACCAGGCGCAGTGCGTGGGAGCACCCCGTGCTCAGCGTGTCTGGGAACACCCCGTGCTCAGCGCGTGGGAGCACCCCGTGCTCAGCGTGTGGGAACACCCCGTGCTCAGCGTGTGCGGGAACACCCCGTGGGGGGCAGAGGCTGATAGCAAAGATCTGAGGGGGCGGCTGTCGGCGATAAGTTCTGGGGTTTGATGGGAGGAATGGGGCGGTCGTGAAAAGATAAAGAGACATCAGGTTTGAAGTC